TAATGGTTGAACTAGTTTACAGACCACTCTTAATACTTCCTAGCCGCCAAATGTGTGGGGTTTGTTCTCATACCAAGCGATTCTCTGTGGACACCACTGGGTGTCCTACAACTCAACTCAGTTCTCACACTGTTGGGAGTTAGCACACAGCCCACAGGGTGTGCACACGCCCCTCAGTCCCACAAGACTGCCCCACTTCAGATGCCAGTGCTTCAGAAGTTGTCACCTATGCTTCTGACAGACTAGATTTAAATCGGGAGTTCCCACCAGCCCCCTTCTCAGGTTTGAAGATTTGCTAGAACAGCTCACAGAACTCAGGAAAACAGACGACCAGTTTATGATAAAAGGATACAACTCAGAAGCAGCCAGATGGAAAAGGTGCCTGGGATAAGGTGTGGGGAGGGGCGCAGAGCCCCCATGCCCCCCTCCCAGCACTTCCATGAGTTCAGCCTGGAGGCTCCTCAGGCCCCATCCTTTGGGGTTTGGGTTTTTATGAAGGCTTCATTCTTAGGCATGATTCATTAAGTCATCAGTCATTGGTGATGAAATCAACCTCCAGTCCCTCTCCCCTCTGTGGAAGTGGCTAGTGGGCATGAGGCTGAAAGTCCCAAGTCTCTAATCACTGGTTGGCTCCCCTGGCAACCAGCTCCCGTCCTGAGGCTATCCAGGAGCTGCCAGTACCAGTCATCTCATTAGCATACAAAAAGTCACTCATCATTTTGGAGGTTCCAAGGGTTTCAGGAACTTTGTGCCAAGAGAAAGCAGAGATCAAATATATATTTCTCATTATGCCACACCTGGGTTCAGAATCCTGGCTCTGCCAATTTCCAGGTATGTGACCTCAGATAAACTACCTGGTCTCTGAGCCTTGGTTTCTCATTGTAAGATTTCATTGACCACATACATAACGTGTTCTGTGGACTGCGCATAGCAGTTGGCATAAAGAAGCTGATGACGAAAGTGAGCCCCACTTTTCCTCCTCCTCCAGCTTGCAGCAGTCTCGCACATCCCACAGCCACCCTAACAGAGAGCAAGGCTTGTTGGTGCTGCCGGGACTCATGCTTGGTGTCAGAAAAGGCAGAGATGTTGAGTGTGGGCTCTGGAGCCTGCAGTCCTCCACTGTGGAGTGGGGTGACCGTGACCAAGGTACCTGGTTTCTCTACACCTTGGCTTCCTTGTCTATAAAACAGGACGTCCGCAAGTGTCTGCCTCATAGAGTTAATGAGCTAATGCACATAAACACTTTGAAAGATGGCTGGCACACAAATGCCCAGTAAACTTCAGCTAATAGTATGATCACCACCACCACAGTCACCCCAGGTCTGACCTAGTGGGGCATGCAAAGTGCCCCTCATGTTCTTTCTGCAGGCTTCCCTGTTGGGAGGCATCCTGGAGCTCAGTCTTTTCTTTTTCATCCTCTCTAGGGACAAGACATTGGTCTCTGGGGTGAATGGGAGGGGCCTCTACTATTGACACAGCCGCAGCAAACAATGCATGAGCCTTGGTGGAGCAAAGAAGGGTGTGGGCCTGTTGGGAGAGGCAGGTGCCAGCAAGAGATGCTGAGTACCCTGCCCCTCTTTCCTTACCCCTGTGCTGGACAAAGCCTTCTGGAGACAGACTTTCTACTTTCAAAGAACTCGTGGTCTAGAGTGAGCTTTATCTGGAAAAGGACATGCGTCCTTTGGGATTTGGGGTGGGGTGAAAAATCTCTAGGAAAGCTCAAGTGGTCTGAAACCATATGTTCCATAGAGTTCTTGTTTTTTAAAAATATGTATTTCCAGAGGTTCTTGTTTGAGAGCTCTTCTCTTTTGTTTTTCTTTTCTTTTCTTTCTTTTTTCTTTTTTTTAATTTTGAGATGGAATCTTGCTCTGTCACCCAGGTTGGAGTGCAGTAGCATGATCTCAACTCACTGCAAGCTCCACTTCTCAGGTTCAGGTGATTCTCCTGCCTCAACCTCCTGAGTAGCTGGGATTACAGGCATGTGCTACCATGCCAGGCTAATTTTTTAATTTTTAGTAGAGATGGGGTTTTGCCATGTTGGCCAGGCTGGCCTCGAACTCCTGACCTCAAATGATCCACCCACCTCAGCCTCCCAAAGTGTTGGGATTATAGGTGTAAGCCACTGCACCCGGCCAGCCATTCTTTTTTCTAAAGCGAGTAAAGCTCTACCAAATTGCAACTGGCTGGGATGCACAGAAAGTAGTGAGCAAGATTGGCAGGAGGAGAGGGGAGAAAGTTGGGGGCCATTTCCCTAGAGAGATCTGGCATCTATCAGCTGTACACAGCCATCTAGGGCTCAGTGTTTGCCAGTGTCTGAGTTCTGGGCTGTCTCTGTTGGCTACTCAGGTACAGGAATGCTCATTTTCCCCCTGCTCCCTCTGTCCTTTCTGTCCTCCCTTATTTCTTCCCTTCATTCAACAGATCTTTGTTGATTGCATGAATGTCTCAGTTTCCCTGAATTTGTGCAAAAATCTATTAATTTATTCTTTTAATGAATATTTGTTAAATGAATCGGTGGATGTTTGAACTGGGAGTAAGCTCATCTCTTGAGTCCCCTCTCTCCAACGGCAGGTTGGCTCACCATCCCAGGGAGCCTGCATTTTACTGGAGAGGGTACCTATGGTGACCCTCCGCCCCATCTCCAGTGCTCTTGAGTGGAAGCCCCTCCCCAGTCCTGCCCTGGCCCCCACTTGCTCCTGTCTCACCTTTCTCTCTTCTCCACGAAGGGCCCCTGCTCTAGACAAATAGCATCACTCCTTCTCTTGTGCTTTTGAGCCTCTCCTTCCCACCGTCTAGAATGCAGGCTGCTCTATGGGCACCTGACAAAATTCTCTCTCCTTTCAAGGCCCAGCATTTTCAGTGTAGCTTTTCCTGATCCCTACAACCGAAAGTGATTTTTTTTTCCTGCCTGCATCTCTCATACACCTTTCCTGGATTTACCCCATTCCATCATTCATGATCACTTATGCTTGTCTTATCCACTGCTGAAGCTCTTGGAGAGTTACAACTACACTTCATACACGTTTACACTCCCAACATTGTGCCTCACACAATGTCCTATGAATAATAGTTGCTCTAATATTTTTATTGAATGAATACTTCATATTCACTTTTCCTTGTAGACTAAATTTTGAGCTGTTGTCATGACAATCATCTCATGACATTAGTCTTTTCTTTGTTCATTTATTCCTTCATCCATTTATTTATCTAATTATCCTAATACAGTCAAGCAGTGCGCTAAGCATCAGAATAGAAAGATCAAGAGGGCGCCGGGTGCAGTGGCTCATGCCTGTAATCCCAGCATTCTGGGATGCCAAGGCGTGCAGATCACTTGAGCCCAGGAGTTTGAGGCCAACTTGGGCAATATGACAAAACTCTGTCTCTACAGAAAATACAGAAGTTAGCTGGGAGTGGTGGCTCATGCCTGTAGTCCCAGCCAATGGGGAGGCTGAGGTGGGAGAATCCCTTGAGTCCAGGAGCCAGAGGTTGCAGTGAGCCAAGATCACACCACTGCACTCCAGCCTGAGGCAACAGAGCCAGATCCTGCCTCAAAAATAAAATAGAATAAAAGATTAAAAAGGGATGTTCTGATGCAGACAGATGGACATATATAAAAAAGAGCTGTGTCTGGCACTGGAATGCACCCTCACACTCTCATCAGAGCTGTGGCCTCTTTGTAAAGACAGAGACCAGTTTGGTTTGCGGAAGAATGGGTGACGTAACCTCTTAAACATAATTCATAGGAAGATTTCCCAAAAAGTTTCTTTCAGCGAACACTTGGTACATCGTGGCATCTCTCATAAACCCTTCTCAGTTTAGCTCCGTCATCTTCACAATTGTGTGAGAAGAAATCAGGAGGGTGGATTTTGAGATGTTTGTCCTCGAGTCTTATCCAGGTCATTCATGGCCTTTGACCTGCTCCTATAAACAGCTCTTGCCAGTGAGCATTTGCAAGTCCCCTCTGGGCCAAGGATTCCCCAATCACTAGGCCTAGAAACACTGCTCAGAGTCTCCGCCAGCCTCCCTAGCATCAGAGGCCCAGGTCAACACCAAGGCGTTACAAATACAGGGAAGGTAAAGGATGCAAAAGTAAACATTTGCTGGATGCTGGAGAGGCGAAACATGCTTGGCATCTGGGTACACACAAAGGTACAACAAAGAAGCCAAACCAGGATGATGGGTGTGAGAGAAGTATCCTCCCTTCCGTTCTTTTTTTTTTTTTTTTTTTTTTTTTTTTGAGACAGAGTTTTGCTTTTGTCACCCAGGCTGGAGTGCAATGGTTGTGACCTCGGCTCACTGTAACCTCTGCCTCCCAGACTCAAGTGATTCTCCTGCTTCAGCCTCTTGAGTAGCTGGGATTACAGGTGTGCATCACCACGCGCAGCTAATTCTTTGTATTTTTAGTAGAGACGGGGTTTCACCATGTTGGCCAGGCTGGTCTCAAGCTCCTGACCTCAGGTGATCCGCCTACCTCAGCCACACAAAGTACTGGGATTACAGGCATGAGCCACCATGCCCGGCTCCTCACTTCAGTTCTGTTGGAGCCCCCATCCACAAAGCAATGAGAAATGCTGAAAGCAGACAGAATGTAGGCACTCTGGTGACATAGTTCTCCTCATTGATTGGATGGAGTTCCACTGAACATTTGGCCTGTTCCCTAAGGGCCGAGTGACAGCTCAGCAGATGGAGGGGAAAAGACACTCTTAGCTGTGGGAACAGGATGCACAGAGGTTCAGCTGTCTGAAAGGGCAGAGCATTTTCTGTGATCTTGCATCCTGGGAGCTGGCATAACTGAGACTAGAAAGACTGAATGGGAATAAGTTGTGATGTTCTTGCTATGCAAGATCAAGGTCTTTGGATTTTAACGTGATTCTTTCCAGGAATTTGGTTCTGCCCTCGACGAGCCTCACCCCAAAGCTGCTCTTTGGTAACTTACACCCTTCCCCCACACCACCATTCCTTGCCTCCTAGGACTTCAGGTTCTCTTTTCTGCCTCACAGCTCTAGGACTCCAGAGTATCAACTGGCAGACGGCCTTCAACCGACAAGCGCATCACACACACAAGTTCTCTAGCCGGGAGCTCATCTTGCGGAGAGGCCAAAACTTCCAGGTCTTAATGCTCATGAACAAAGGCCTTGGTTCTAACGAAAGACTGGAGTTCATTGTCTCCACAGGTACCTGCGCATTCCCCTCCCTGCCCAAACACACACATACCTGAGTAGCCCTTGTGCATTCAAGGAGTGATGGGGACCATAGTGGGACCACTGGCATTGGGCTCTAGCCTTGCTCTGTCAATGATTCAATGTGGCCTTGGGCAAGTTGCTGTCCATCTCTGAGCCTGACTGAGAGTCACCATCCTCAAATCAAGAGGGATCTGGCCTGTATGTTCATTCCAGTTACTTCCAGTGGCAGAATATGGTGCTTCATTGGCTCATGTCCCCCAGACGGGGGTTGTATTGGAACCTGGTCTCTCCACAGTCTGACCAATGCTTGTTGGTTTTTCTCAATCTCTGTCTTCTTTGACAGGGCCTTACCCCTCCGAGTCGGCCATGACAAAGGCTGTGTTTCCACTCTCCAATGGCAGTAGCGGTGGCTGGAGTGCGGTGCTTCAGGCCAGCAATGGCAATACTCTGACTATTAGCATCTCCAGTCCTGCCAGCGCACCCATAGGACAGTATACAATGGCCCTCCAGATCTCCTCCCAGGGCGGCGTCTCCTCTGTGAAACTTGGAACGTTCATACTGCTTTTTAACCCCTGGCTGAATGGTAGGTGTCTAACCACCCACACTCTCAGCCCTGGCCTAAGCTAGAAAAGAGAAAGGGGATGGGGGAAATGATCTTCACAGGCTCAAGTTTGATTAGGGAAAGTCCATGGGCTGTGGAAAGGGCGCAGAAGCTAGAAATGAGGAGCTCTGACACTTCAGCAGCGTCTGAGTCTGGGCAGTCCCTCTATCTCTCCAAGTCCTCACCATTAAATGGACATCCTGCTGTTTCTTCTGGGAATATTGTCCAGATCACATTGAGCTTTTACAAACTGCATAGCACGGTTCATTTTAAGGGACAATACCACAGTATAATTCCACAGCATGGAGATAGCTTCCTGCCAGAAAGAGCAGGTGTCTCATCCCCAGGGTCTCATTTTCAGACCCTCAAGTCATCCTAGCTTCTCTTTCCAGCTCATAGTTCCCACAATTGGAGTTGGAAGAATTTCAGCCCAAGGGTCAGGGGAGGGCTAAAGGTGGGGCTTGCTCCGACCCTCAGGCCAGTTCAGGAGTTGGAGGAGAGGAGGAATGATCCCTACAGTCCTCCTAGGATTCTAGTCCCTGGTGTCTGCTTTTTGTATCAAACAGCGGATAGCGTCTTTATGGGTAACCATGCTGAGAGAGAAGAATATGTTCAGGAAGATGCCGGTATCATCTATGTGGGAAGCACAAATCGAATTAGCATGATTGGCTGGAACTTTGGACAGGTAAAAGGGTCATACGGAGGCTGAGGGTAATGTCCCTTTTACCCAAGAAGCTCAGCAGCTTGCCCCACAGATCAATGGGAAGTCCCACATCTGTCCATCTGCCTGCCCTTCTATTTGTTCATGCATTCAGAAGACTTTCACTGGCCACCTATTATGTGTCAGACCCTGGGATCCACACTAAAGATACAGGAGATGAATAAGACAGATCCATCTTTGAAGGGGTCGCAATCTAGTGGGCAAGACAGAACACACACATAACTCAATTGATGCAATGAAGTAGTATTGGTGCCAGGATGCACACATAGATATAAGGCCCCCTAGAGACACTGGGGACAGTGATGTAGCTTCTGTTTTTTCATTTCATGTAAAAATGTGATGAAACTTCCTTAGTGTGCCCACTCAACCTTTCCAAGCCACACCCTCTTGGTCCTTTATTACAGTGATCCCCATTTGAGTCTACGGAGTTCTCAGATTTGGTCAGTTTAGAAAACTTTCAGGGATGCCCTCCACTTTTTATTTTATCCACCAGATAAAGGCATTAGAATAAAGCACCTTGGGTGGGGTGCCTTGGATATCAGAAGGATGTGTGCTTGGACCATCTACAGACCCTGTCTGTAGTCAACTGGAGCAAGTTGGCTATCTCCTTTATTGTGAGGAAGGAAAAAAGAGAAGGATAGTGAATAGAGTGCACCTAGGAGTGGAAAAGAGGCCTTTTTTTTTTTTTTTTTTTTGATGGCATGGTCAAGGAGGGCCTCACTTAGAAAGGAGCCTCTGATCAGGAACCTGAAGGAGATGAGGGCACCAGACAGAGATCCTGGGAAAGAGCATCAGGCAGCAGGAAAAGCAAATGCAAAGACCTAAGTCAAGAAGAGCTCAGCCTTCTCAGTTTGAGAAGCAATGACTTCAATCAAGTCTTATTTTGTGAAAATTGCTTCAAATACATATACTTAACAAGAGATTTTATTTTTATAACTAGTTCTCCAGGAGTCTCAATAACATGTTCAAGATTGTAGGCAGGCCAGGTGCGGTGACTCACGCCTGTAATCCCAGCACTTTGGGAGATTGAGGCAGGTGGATCACCTGAGGTCAGGAGTTCAAGACCAGCCTGGCCAAAATGGCGAAACCCTGTCTCTACTAAAAATACAAAAATTAGCTGGGTGTGGTGGTGTGGGCCTGCAATCCCAGCTACTTGGGAGACTGAGGCAGGAAAATCACTCGAACCCAGAAGGAACCCAGGAGGTGGAGGTCACAATGAGCCGAGATCGCGCCACTGCATTCCAGCCTGGGTGACAGAGCAAGACTCCGTCTCAAAAAAAAAAAAAAAAGGATGGGAGTCAGAGAGTCAGAGACAGAAGAAAACTCTGAGATGAGTTTGGCCTGATTATACAGATGGAGAAATCAAGGCCAGACAGGCTAAACGGCTTGCTCCTGAGGTTTGTGGCAGCCAGGGCGTCGGCTAGACCAGGCCACCTCCCATGCATTCACTTTAGGAGACTTTGCACAAGGTCTTATGCTTTTTTCTTTTTTATAATTTTTAAATTTATTATCCTTTCCTCTCTTTTTTGGTTTTTTGTTTCAAAAGCTGTCTTTGAGGAAATACACAGGGTCTTGTGTGTAGTGAGTGCTCTGGATGAGTTTGCGGGGTTGAGGGCTGGGCATGGTGGCTGTCCTCAGTAGCTCTCAGTTCCAGAGGCCACAGAGTCAAAGGATCTGACAGTTCCTGTGGTTCTCACCAGTGTAGTTCCCTTCTTGAGCCAACTCTTCTTGTCATTTCTTTCATTGTAATGTATGGCCTCATTCTGAACAGTTTGAAGAAGACATTCTGAGCATCTGCCTCTCAATCTTGGATAGGAGTCTGAATTTCCGCCGTGACCCTGCTACTGATGTGGCCCGCAGAAATGACCCCAAATACGTTGGCCGGGTGCTGAGTGCCATGGTGAGTAACAGGAAAATGATCACAACTAGTTGTCATCATATATTGAACACCACCTGTGGGCTAGGCACGCACACTCTTTATATATGTCATCTCATTAAAGCCTCACCGATTACAGCTGGTGGTTAGAATCATACACATTTTACCAACTTGGAGCACAAGGCCCCTCTAAGTTATAGGGCTTGCCTGAGGCACACAGTGAGTATGCGGCAGAGGCAGAGCCAGACACAGGTCCAGCCAGCTTCAAAGCCCTTTCCACCACATCACGAAGCCTTTCTCAGAGGAAAAGGGAACTTGCTCTTTGGGTGCCTGCCAAAGATGGAAGAATGCAAATCTAGGGCTCTGCTCCATCATTGGGCCTCCTGGGAAAGGAAGCGAGACCCCTATTGAGCTGGAGGTGGTGACCTCCTTTGCCTAACTCATCTCTTCCGCAGCCTGGAGCACAGCCCAGAGTGTCAGATGGTAGGCTGCCTCATTCATGATCTAGATGGGGAAACAAGCTTGGAGAGCTGAAGTGGCTTGTTCAAACCACACAGCATGCAAGTCAGACCAGAACAAGGCCTTCATGGAAAAGACCTGTGCCCTTACAACGTACACACACACACTCACACGCTCACAATCTCTCTCTCTCTCACTCACACACACACAAGCTAGATCCCCTAGGAGGCATCTATGGCTCTGCGCTCATTGCATAAAGAATGTCTCCATCCAGTCTGGGCGTGGTGGCTCACGCCTCTAATCCCAGTGCTTTGGGAGATGGAGGTGGGAAGATGGCTTGAGCCCAGGAGTTTGCTGCCAGCCTGGGTAACACAGTGAGATCTCGTCTCTACAGAAATTAAACAAAACAAAACAAAACAAAAACAAACCTAGCCAGGCATAGGCAGACACAGTGGCTCACACCTGTAATCCCAGCACTTTGACAGGTGGATGACTTGAGCCCAGGAGTTCAAGACTAGCCTGGACAACATGGCAAACCCTGTCTCTACAAAAAAAAAAAAAAAAAATTAGCAGGACATGGTTGCATGTGTCTGTAGTCCCAGCTACTTGGGAGGCTGAGGTAGAAGGATCACTTGAGCCCAGGAGGTAGAGATTGTGGTGAGCCAAGATCATGCCACTGTGTTCCAGTCTGGGTGACAGAGTAAGACCCTATCTCAAACAAACAAAAATTAACCAAGCATGGTGGCACATACCTGTAGTCCAGCTACTCAGGAGGCTGAGGCAGGAGGACTACTTGAACCCAGGAGCTTGAGGTTACAGTCAGCTATGATGGCACCACTGCACTCCAGGCCTGGGTTATAGAGTAAGACCCTGTTTCCAAAAATATTCGTCCAAAATATCTAAACCTAGATCAACCTGCTCAAAAGTTGTAAGTTAAAAAGCAAAAAGTCATGATCAGGCACAGTGGTTCACACCTGTAATCCCAGGACTTTGGGAGGCTGAGGCAGGGAATCACTTGAGCCCAGGAGTTTGAGACCAGCCTGGGCAACATAGTGAGACCTCATCTACACACACACACAAGGAGCCAGGCATTGTGGCACATGCCTGTAGTCCCAGCTACTCGGGTGACTGAGCTGGAAGGATCGCATGAGTCCATTAGTCGCAGGCTGCAGTGAGCTATGATTGCACTACTGTACTCCAGCCTGGGTGACAGAGTAAGAACCTGTCTCAAAAAAACAAAAAAAAAAAACAAAAAAAAAAAAACGATGAAAAGTCAAAGTGAATTCTTTACTTTAATCTTCTTAAACTAAGTAATTGCCCAGAAATTCTGTAACCTTTATTTATTTATTTCTATGGTTCATGGTTTAGGCATTTCTTGAGCTCTTGACTTTTGAGTTGGATATGTTCATGCTAATGAGCTAGTTACTTGGTTAGAAATGTGAACAACTTCTCAGCTGCATAATAAATATCTGGAATGCCTCTGAGAGGGCTTCTGGAAAGAGCTGAGTCTTAGACTGAGCCTGGCAGGAAAGGAGTAAGGTGGCCCAGGACTCAGAGGCTCTAAGGAGATGAACGAGGAGCTGAGTAGTCGAGGGAGGGTATGGAGAGGAAGTGAGCCTGGAGCAGAATCTTGAAACCAAATGGCCTGGAAGAGGTTTGATTAAAGCCCTGGTGACTTAGAAAGCTGAGCCTCTTTGTCCTAGGAGAGAGTGGGTGAGGCCAGAGGCTCCTGCAGCCGCTGACTCACTCGCACCCCAGGGCCAAACCACTTTATCGTGGAGCCAATTTCCTCAGCTGCACCTCCCAGATGCTCCCCGTTCAGACCTCCCAGCTGGGCTGGGCCATGAACTAATTATGGCCTGTGCAGAGCTTTGAAATGCTCAGCTTTCAGCCAGAGATGACCGTGCTGATAGCCACTTTGGAGGCTGGAGCACCAGTGACTCAGGAGATGGGGAAGGACTGCACAACCTTCTGTCTCGAAGGAGGCTCTGTCTTGCCTGACTCTGCCATGACAGCCCAGGCCCTCTTGGAAGGGGTGCAGAACTCACCACTGCACTGAGGAGTGGCAAGGCTGGCCATGGCCTGTCCTGGGCAGGGATCCTTTTGTGTCCAGACTGTCCATTCTCATAGGCCTTGCCCCTTACAGGCACTCCAAGGAGAGGGCGTAAGACACACAGGCTGGAGGAGCACTCGGAAATCCTGGTCCAGCCTCTCATTGCACAGTTTAGATAAACGACAGCCAAAGTTTCATAAACCCTGACCCTTGACTACAGAAGACACCTCCGAGCACCTTTGTCTAACTTTCCCTTGAAAATTCTCTTCCCTATTGGAAGGTGAAGAACTAAGGCCTGGAGAGGTGAACAGACCTTTGTGCAATCATCAAGTTGGCAAGTGGCAAGGTGGGGCTTGTAATCTCACTGTCTCCTTTTCTCTTTTAACTTTTATTATGGAAAAGTTCAGACCTATATAAAAGTAGAGAGAAAAGCATAATGAACTCCTGTGTATGCATCTCAAGCTTCAACAATTACCTCTTCAAGGCTGGTGTCATTTCATCTCCGACCCTCTCTTTCACAGATGATTTGATAAATCTTACACATTACACATTTGTCATCATTTCACCTGTAAATATTTCCAAGTGTGTCCCTAAAAGACAATGGAACTCAGGTCTCTTGATTTCTAGTCCAGTGATCTTTTCAGGCTGCCTCTTGGTTGTGTCACTTAGATAAGAACCTTGCCTTAAATTGAATAAATGAATGAGTAAACTAACAAACGAACAAATAGCTGAATGAATGAAAGAAAAGAAATACTCTATCTTTATTCTTTCCAAGAAGAAGTTAGTTGCTGAAGTTCTAAAGTGACTTTCTGGCAGGATGCGGTGGCTCACGCCTATAATCCCAGCACTTTGGGAGCCAACATAGGCGGATCACTTGAGATCAGCCTGACCAACATGGTGAAACCCCATCTCTACCAAAAATACAAAACCTAGCTGGGCATGGTAGCACACATAATACCAGTTACTCAGGAGGCTGAGCCAGGAGAATTGCTTGACCCTGGGAGGCGAAGCTTGCAGTGAGCCAAGATCACGCCACTGCACTCCAGCCTGGGTGACGGAGAGAGACTCCGTATCAGAAAATAATAAAAAAATAAATAAATAAAGTGATCTTTTTGTAAGACCATACACCAAAAAAGAGTTTCAAACCATGGACTCCCAGGCAGACAGATAACAGTGATAGCCTGTGAATTCTTTCCTACCAGAAGTCCTCTGCAAGCCGGATTTGTGCCCTGCCTTGCCACAGACAAGCTGTGCTGTCTGTTTCCCATGTCAGGCTGCCACACAGGAATGACGTGTGGATCAAGGACAATCAAACATAGCCTGTTTGGGAAAGCACCTCTAAACTCTTAAACCACTCCATACCCCTAGGGGTTAAGAGTTACAATGATCATCCCCAAGTCACCTAGAAAGACAAAGAAAAGTTTAATCATGGTCCTTGGCTTCCTTCCTCATCTCCCCACCTTGTCCTCTGAACTCTGCATGTCAGTCTCCCTAGGAAAGGCATTAGTGCTGACTCATTTTGGGGGGTGGTTTCTGCCCAGATCAATAGCAATGATGACAATGGTGTGCTTGCTGGGAATTGGAGCGGCACTTACACGGGTGGTCGTGACCCAAGGAACTGGAATGGCAGCGTGGAGATCCTCAAGGACTGGAAGAAATCTGGCTTCAGCCCAGTCCGATATGGCCAGTGCTGGGTCTTTGCTGGGACCCTCAACACAGGTACCTTGGGTGTGGTGTGCCTTGGCTGGGTCAGTGGGTGGCAGTGGGCTATGCCACGGTACCGTCTCCACCATCTGAGTCCTCACACCCACCCTGACTTGCAGCGCTGCGGTCTTTGGGGATTCCTTCCCGGGTGATCACCAACTTCAGCTCAGCTCATGACACAGACCGAAATCTCAGTGTGGATGTGTACTACGATGCCATGGGAAACCCCCTGGACAAGGGTAGTGATAGTGTATGGTAAGTATCTCACCTTTTGCCTGAACCTCGAGCACCACATTTGAGTGGCTTCTCACTCTCACCGTCCTCCTGGGACCCAGGTCCAAACAGGAGTTGCAAGGCAAGTAACATGTCACCACAGCATGTAGAATGGAAATACTGGCAACGCTGATTACACACTTAGCAGCACCCAAGACACCTCTTCTCAGTGCTCTGCGGTCTGCTAGTCTGGTCTGTCTTGCCGCCGTCAGATGAAGGGTCTGATCCCAGTGAAAGACAGGGCTCCTAAATTCACTCTGAATTTATGGGATCCATTGGACCTTATACTACTTTAGAAGATAAAAATCCATATGACTTGTAAACTTTCTTTTTTTTTTTTTTTTTTTTCCTTAATTCAATTTTGAATTTATGGGATCCATTGACCTTATACTACCTTTAGAAGATAAAAATCCATATGACTTGTAAACTTTCTTTTTTTTTTTTTTTTTTTTTTTGAGATGGAGTCTCGTTTGGTCACCTGTGCTGGGAAAGTTACGGCGGCGATCTGCTCCACTGCAACCTCCGCCTCCCAGGTCTGCTGGGCCTGCCTCAGTCTCCCGAGTAGCTGGGACTACAGGTGCCTATAACTAATGCCTTCCTGGCTAATTTTTTTGAGTAGGAGAGTTATGTTAAAACTTTCTTTTCTTTTTTTTTTTTTTTTTTTTTTTTTATGCTTAGAGTTCCCGCTTGCTGCTCCAGGCTGGAAGGCAGTGGTTTGATCTCAGCTCACTGCAAGCCTCCTGCCTCCCGGGAAGCGTGGCTTCTTTTAGCCTCAGCCTCCCTGGCAGTCTCCCGAGTAGCTGGGACTACAGGCGCCCGCCACCTCGCCCGGCTAGTTTTTTGTATTTTTTAGTAGAGACAGGGTTTCACCGTGTTAGCCAGGATGGTCTCGATCTCCTGACCTCATGATCCGCCCGTCTTGGCCTCCCAAAGTGCTGGGATTACAGGCTTGAGCCACCGTGCCCGGCCGCGGGTTAAACTTTCTTAAAGAGAATAAGAAAAGCAACACATCTTCTCTTAGCATATATATATATATATATATATATATATATATATATATATATATAGCTATTATACACCTTGGTTGACATCAAAAGTTCAGAGTTTATTCTGGATTCTGGATGAAAACAACTAGTTTTTTTTTGAGATGGTGTTTCATTCTTGTTGCCCAGGCTGGAGCACAATGGCACAATCTCGGCTCACTGTAACCTCATGTTCTCAGGTTCAAGTGATTCTCCTGCCTCAGCCTCTCAAGTAGCTGAGATTACAGGCATGCACCACCATGCCCGGCTAATTTTTGTATTTTAGTAGAGACGGGGTTTCACCATGTTGGTCGGGTTGGTCTTGAACTCCTGACCCAGGCCATACACCCGCCTCAGCTTCCCAAAGTGCTGGGATTATGGGCGTGAGCCACTGTACCCAGCCAAAATGTTGTATATATATATTTGGGCATTTATATTCTTAACCATAAATACGCCATGTGCACACTATCAATACACACACACACACGTAATTTAATGATAGATGCCACAGGAAGTAGATTATATGAAATGTGTAGACATATATCTGTAACTGCATAAAGCACTAGATAGATATTATATAGATGAAAATAGATATTGTCACAACTGTTTAAGGTTACATCATATACTAAGTTATTACTGGATGGCAGTTGGCAATGATGTTTATATCTGTATATACACATAGATATCTATGTGTCTATATAAAGTACCCGTATATCTATTCTTTTAATCCATTTCAAAGGCTACACACACACATAGTTGCTCACATGCATGTATATGTCTAGATAATCGTATGACAGATGTCATCTTATTTTCAGATGTTCAATTTTAAGATAGTCTGCATAAAATATTTGTATTACTTATAATTACCAGAACAAATATATCTAACTTATCTGAAATGTGCTTAATGTAACTAAGGGTATAAAATAAAAGGAAAATAGCTAATAATGGAAAACACTGTTAAAACAAATAAATAACAACTCCATGCCAACAACCGAATTGAGTAATAAAAGCATCCCTTCCCTTCTGAAGGAGAGTGAAGTTTATGTAACTCACCCCAGGGTCAATGGATTCCGGGGTTTTACTGGTGGAGAGAAAGCTTATTTAAGGAGTTTCTTCCTTGATCTGCACATATACAACTTTCTCTCTAATGATATTGCTTACTTGTGACCAGACTTTGTTTTCCAGCTTTTCATGAATGAGTGTGTTTTCTTTTCCCTGGGCTTTTCTTTGTTCTTGTGTCCAAAATCCCATCGCAACCAGCTCTGATCATTGGGGTTATGCCATTCCTAACTTTAGTTTCTTCTACAAAAGGAGATGGTTGGTCAGACAAGTTGGAGGCCCCCTCAGCATATCCTTTCTGTGATTATCCTGTACACTAGGAACTGCAGGGACATGGAAAACTTAAGTCTCAGTTCCTCCACTGAAAGCATTTATGGTGCTGTTAGGAGACAGGGGGTGGGGAAGCCACTAGTAGAGACTAATTAGCAACACAGCATGGTGTGTGATGCCCAGACAAGTGATTAAGACAAGGATACTGGGAACTTGGAGGAAATCCTCAAGGAAGGCGTCCTGGAAGCGGGAAAGTGAGGCTTTTAAGCTAAATTTAGAATTAGAACCCAGGTCTCCTGGTTAGTGATTCACACTGCCCCCCACATCAGCTTAACATCACCTTTGGGACAAGTAGGAGCTGATGGAGACATTCTAGGATGGCTCCCTGGTAACTTCTGTGGCCTCATGGGAGGGGGCCAGGTGCAGAAGCTCTGATTGTTCCTGAGGATCTTGTCACTCCTCCCTTCCTCTCCCCTTTTCTGAACCTTTTCAGAAAGCCAAGGGAGCTGATAGTTACTCCCTACACCATTCCCTACAGCTGATGGTTGGGGGAGCCAGCACTGGAGGGCATGAGGACAGGGAGTCCCAAGCACTAGCTCCAGCCCTACTACCAAATTGTTATGAGGCTTGTGCAAGGCAATTTATCCTTCTGGTCCCAAGTTTCTTCATATGTGAAATATAAGGGTCGGCCTAGGACTAGATGATTTCTTAAGTCCTTTGCCAGCTTAAACTTTTAAATTCTCTGGAGCTTCAGCCCATTCCACTTTCTATAAGAGAGCTAGCCCTCCCAACCAAGGGAGCCCTACTGTTCCTTCCCCATTAAATCCCATGCAGGGGAGAGCTAAACCAAGAGCCAGTTTCTGCCTGGAGTGAAATTACTAAGCTGTTATTATAAGGGCAACTGGAGTTTGGACAGAAAACCTCTGATATGAATCTTTGCATGTTACCAAAAAGTGTTGAAAGCTTTGGAACCAGATTTGCCTAAAGTAATAGAATGTGAGAATCAAGGGAGGTTAAGCATAGAAGTGCTTAGTAATAGTAACAGCAGCAACTAATAATTTGTTGAGCAATTGTTGTGTGCCAGGTACTGTTCTAAGAGCTTACATTTCATCTTCACAAATGACGTAGGCATTGTTATTTTCATCCCCAATTTATTTTTTATGGATGAGAAAACAAAGGCCCTGAGAGAAGTAACCTGTCTAAGATTAAACACTTGGAGACATGTAGGCACTCTTAAGCACATAACATTATGTACGTTCCTTGCCTTTGCTACACCTCAATTTCCCACTTGTAAAACAAAGGGCCAGATCAGGGGACCTCAGTGACATTTTCTAGGCCTTTCTTTTAATCAGATTCACAGCAGCCAGTGGGGTAAATTTTTTTCTAAACCACTTTGCTCATGCCAATGGTCTGGCTTAAGAGGCACACAGCTCCGGAGTATTCACTCTCTTCCGAGTCAGGACACTTTTCGGGGGAGCTGAGTTTGGGATGCTTCTTTGAGATGTCCTCCTTCGGGGCCACTGCAAAGGAGGTCTCTGAAGCCTATTCAGCCACCGAGCAGCAGCCGAATGATTTAGAACAGTCTAGTCAAATTTATCTTGACTTTTCTGGCTTGTTTTCTTCATTCATTTGACTTGATCCCCCAATTTCTAGAGTCATAGATCTGACTCTACCTGTAGACTTTGCAGAACTCTGAGGTAGAAGGCACCTAGAGACTGCCCAGCCCTGCCAGGGAGGTGGAGTCAGGCAGTGCCTCCAGCTGTCAGCACCCACACCTCAGCCAAGCCCCTGGCTCCTCATGCAATCTCTCCACCGCCTCTGCCTCTGAATACCTGCTTCCACTAGTCCTGAACTGGCTCCTAGACCCTTAGTGAGGAAGCGACAGAGAGTGGTTTCAGCCCAGAAACAATTCAATTCAGCAAACATGATTCCGTGCACACCTGCACTGGACTCTGGGCACCAAGAGGGACAAGATGTGCTGGAGGAGGGTTTTCGTTTATTTGTTTTGTTTTATAACTGGGCCTTAGAGACTGAATAGAGGAGTTTACAGCTGCATTAAAAGCTTGGCAATTATGGAGTTGCAATGAAATCAATGAATTACTTGCAAGATTCAAAGACAGCACAGAGGTATGGTTGGCACTCTCTCGGCGTGTCAGGAAAGGCTTTTTGGCAGAGGTAGCATCTGAACAAAATTTGGGAGGACAAATGGGAGTTTACCTACAGAAGGGTGGGGTTTGGGGCCACTTTCTAGGCAAGGTCTCCTAACTCTGTGAATCCAAAGGTAAGCATAGCACAGTTGGTGTCTGTAGAGCAGTGGTTTATAAACATCAAAGACTGCATCAGAATTAATATGGGTGGGGAAAGATGAAAGCAGTAGAAATCTGCACTTTTTAATAAATGCCTCGGGTAGTTCTGATGCCCACAGCCTGTCCTCTCCTGAGCTCCTGCTCCTGAAACCCTCAGGAAAGGAGTGGAGCCCGAGGTTGAGGGGTGGGAGAGAGTGTGGCGCACAACCAGAAACTCACACGGGAATTTCCACATGGCGCCACTGGGCATCAGAAAGACGCACATCCCAAACATTTCTGTGTAACTGAAGTGGCTGACTTTTGCCTGAGGGAGGAACCAGGATGTAGTTGTTATCTGCTCTGCCTTAAATTCCTGCCTTGCAAGCAAGTACTAAAATACAGCTACTTATCACTTTTTCTTTTTTTTAACCAACCTGCCCTTCCCCTCAGTTGCTCTGCCAGGAGCAAACTGAGTGTGAAACTTGGTGTTCTCACTCACTTTCTCATCCCTCCCTTGCCCCTTTCACCTACCTAGGACCATCTTCCCACACTTCCTCCCTTGCCTTCTCCTTGGTGAGTTCTAACCGACCATGAAGGCCTGTCCAAAAAGACTTCCTGGGTCCTGGAGATCATTTTTATGATGCCCTTTTAAAAATAATTATAGAAAAATTCAAAATACATAAAGAAATAAAAATCATTTATGATCTTATTCATATATCTTCAACACTTGGTAGTTTTCCATTCATCTTTTCTCTCTGAGTTATTGTTATTTATAGAACTGGGGTGATACATTTTACAAGGCATGAGTAGAAGACAGAGCATATAATAGAAACATCCCATTTTTTCTCACACCTCGAAACCAACCACTTCACCTTTCGTTTTAGTCATGTTTTTTTTTTACTAAACATTATATCATGAGCATTTCCCCATGTCATTAAAAAATCTTCAAAAATAAGATCATTTCAAATACATCAAAAATGCATCATATTGTGTTATATGGAATGGAACCGATGTAAAATCAAGTTACATAAAATGGAACCTACCATTAACCTGTTTCCCTTTTTTAAGCCCATCTGCCTGGATTGAAATCCCACTCTGCTTAATTACTCACTGTAAGACCTTCTCAAGTCACTTAACTTCTCTGAACCTCAGTTTCCAGAGTTGCTGAATGGGGAATAATAATTATTTCTGTCTTTTAGGGTATTGTAAGTTAATGTATGCAATCACACAGTTAGAACACAACTTTCTGTGTTAACACTGTGTTAGCTATGATCATTCAACTTATATGTATTTTCTAATTATAGAAGTAATGAGTAATTCACATGATAGAAAATAAAAACATTACATTACAGAAATAAGTAACATAAAACTTAGTTTGTATGCACTATATACATGATACATAACATCAAACTGTTCATGGTGGATATCTAAGAAAATAGAATTATTGGAGACTAACTTTCTCCAATGTTTTATGTACAATTTTTTAACAAATGGATTTATCATACATCTACATATATACACACAGGAGTTTTTTCTTTTTCCTTTTTTATTTCCGTAGATTTTGGGGGAACAGGTGGTATTTGGTTATATAAGTTCTTTAGTGGCTATTTGTGAGATTTTGGTGCACCCATCTCCTGAGCAGTATACACTGAACCCAATTTGTAGTCTTTTATCTCTCACACCGTTCCCACCTTTTCTCTCTGAGTCCCCAAAGTCCATTGCGTCATTCTTATGCCTTTGCATCCTCATAGCTTAGCTTGACTTATGAGTGAGAACATATGATGTTTGGTCACACTGATTTTCTTATTTCATGATATCTCTTAGACATCTCTCCATGTAAGTAGTAGATTGATTTTGCTTGTTCTTTTTGACAGCTGTTTGATATCCCATTCCATGTCTCTGCCACCATTTGTCTGCCAATTCCCTTGTTGATGAACTTTTGCTCCAACTCTTTTGCTATTACAAACAATGCCTCGGTGGATACCTTTAGATATACATCTATGTGCACTTACGTGAGTTTTTCTATGGGAGAAATTCCTAGATGTGGACCTACTGGCTCAGTGAGTATGTAGATTTTTAAAGGATTTTATGCTCGTTGCCAAATTGCTTTCCACAGAGGTCATAGCAATTTAAACTCCCACTGGTGGGGTATGACAGTGCTTGTTTTCCCACCCAGAATGAGCACCACAATGAGTATCACCCTATGCTTTAATCTCTGTCAATCTAATAGCTGTCATCTATGTATCTCTGTCATATTATCTCTTTGTCATTTTAATTTTCTTTTAATAGTACTGAGGTTAAAACTATTCTCATATGTTCGGTGGTTATTTGTATTTCTTATAAAAATTGCCTGCTCATTGCTATTTATGGGCATGTTTTTCTTTTTCTATTTCTTATTTTTTCATCACGTAGTTCAAGGAAAGTATGCTTTCTCTTATCAATTTGTAATTACATTACAATATTGATACAGTAAATCCCTTGCATGTATGTTGGATATATTTTCTCTGCTTTATTGATTTTTTCAGTCATTTGTTTCACTGCCTTCAAACTGAATAATTTCTAGTCATCTATCTTCAAACGTATTGACTCTTTCCTCTGTCATCTCTATCCTGCTAATAAGTTTATTTATCATTTAATTTCAGATATTGGTCTTTTCTCCAGTTAAAAATTTTCCGTTTGGTTCTTTTTTCATATTTTCTGTTTCTCTGCCCAAAGTTTATCTCTTTTCGTTCGTTATGAGCATATTTTCCTTTATTTCATTGAGCCTAGCTCTAGTAGCTGCTTTAGTCTTTGTCCAACAATTCCAACATCTGGATTATTTTATGGTTGGTCTCTGTGGATTGTCTTTTCCCTTGAGGATAAACCACATTTTCCTGGTTCTTTGCTTGTTGAGTAATTTTGGCTCATACGCCAGATGTTGCATGTGTCTGAATTCTGTTATCTTGTTTTAGCTGCTTATCTTGGGTGACTCAACGTGCAAATTATTTCCCCTGCGGTAGACAGTGGCTCTGCTCTCAGTTCAGTACTTTTATCTCCAGCTGAACGACTCGTGGTCTGCCTCATCCATGCATGACTGAGGGTCACCCAGAGGTTTGGGCAGCTTCCTTGACTCTTTCCAGAATTCCCCCCTCATTCTCCAGCAACCCCAGTTGGTCCAGGCTCTGTTCCTGGTTCCTCAGGTCAGAAAGCTGTGGGCTGCCTGTCGAGTTCTTGCTCCATGTACTTTACCCCAGCTGTGGCCTTTCCTTAGAGCAAACTCATACAAAGTGTAGCTTCTCCACGTTCTGATTCCTTTCCAAACTCATCATGCTTTGATCATGCTCAGGTGTCTTTTCTAGTTTTTCATTTTTCCCCCCACAGTTTCTCATTATATGCAAAAAGATTCATCTGTTTTGAGCTTATCCTCCATACCAAAAACAGAACTACAGGTTTTTTGTTTACCTGTAATTTCAATATTTTTACATACTCAAATATATGAGTCTCTTCCTTTATGGCCTCTGAAATGGGTGGTCTGCTTAGAACTATCTTTTCCACGTTATGAGTATAGAAATTTTTTTTTTTGGCCGGGCGTGGTGGTTCACGCCTGTAATCCCAGCACTTTGGAAGGCCAAGGCAGGCAGATTATGAGGTCAGGAGCTGGAGACCATCCTGGCTAACATGGTGAAATCCCATCTCTACTAAAATTACAAAAAATTAGCCAGGCGTGGTGGCAGGCGCCTGTAGTCCCAGCTACTCGGGAGGCTGAGGCAGGAGAATGGTGTGAACCCAGGAAGTGGAGCTTGCAGTGAGCCGAGATTGTGCCACCGCACTCCAGCCTGGGAGACAGAGCGACACTCCGTCTCAAAAAAAAAAAAAAAAAAAAAAAAAAAGAAAGAAATTTTTTTTCCAGGTTGATTAGAATTTGGATTTATGTCGAACTTATGTTTTCTTCATGTTGAACTGAAAAGTGCCGAGACCAGTGTGACTATAGTTTCCATGGGAGTGGAGAGGAGAGAAGAGGGCAGAATTGGGGGACAGAATGAGTAAGACCTTGGCTACTTGGTTGTGCCTGGCGAGGGGTGAGTGGTGACTGAGGCTTACAAATTGAGACACAAGACGAAGAACATTTGAGGCCTGGCAGATGTCATTCTTCAGTTCAGATCCCAGCCAAGAGACGGTGTGGCTCTTAGGTAGGCCAGTCACTCCTGCAGCAACCCCATTCATTTTCGGCCCACACCGAGCACAGAAGCATAACCCGCCAGGCACAGGGAGAAAGCTGTGTGGGTTTGTCCCTGGGTGGCTGGCTCCAATCTGGATTCATTCTGCTCCTTAGAAAGGTGCATGCTGGTCAAGGCTTTGACTTTTGAGTTAGGCATACATGGGTCCACATTTTGACCCTACCATTGTTAGCTGCTTAACTTCTCTGAGCCCAAGTTTCCCTTTTTATAAAACGGGCATAAAAATGGAACCCATTTCACAGTGCTGTGAGGATTTCCACGAGATGATGCTCACCAGGGCTTAGCATAACAGCTGTCACAGGACAAACTCACTCAATGCATGTTGTCGTGCTGCACTGTCGGGGCGAAGATGTGCTGTCTTGCCACTCATCTGCTGTGTAGTCTTGGGCAAGCGCTGCAGTCTCTGGTTCTATCTGCAGGAATTTCCATGTCTGGAATGAAGGCTGGTTTGTGAGGTCTGACCTGGGTCCCTCGTACGGTGGATGGCAGGTGTTGGATGCTACCCCGCAGGAAAGAAGCCAAGGTAACTTCTCTGGGTGTGGTTCTAAGTCATGAGCCTCACAGTTACTTACAGCCGTGGACAGCAGCATAGGGAAGTAACTCCAAAGCCCTCTCCCTCTGGAATGCATGATGGGATTAAAACAAAAATAGTTTAAAAATAGATCTCCCCTGCTAATTTTGTTTGGCTCGGGCTGCTATTTAAATGAGTGCCTGCCCTGCACCCACAATGGCTACTGTTGCTGCACAGAGCCTTGGCACAGGCCAGGTGAGCAGGGAGAGCAGTCTTCCTCTGCCAGCAATGATTTTCCTGTACCAACTGCAGCAGCCTCTCCTTCCCAGCACAGAAAATTTGTGGTTCCCTGTTGCCCTTGGGGTTTACTCCACGTTCTCCACTGGTCACCACCCACAGCAGCTCCCTCTGGCACACGAAGCTCCCCCTTAGGCAGACCGCCTCTGCTATCCCCATCCCAGGCCTCTGCTTCCTCCTCTGGCCTCCCTCTGTCTCCTGCCCCATCAGGGGTTGGGTCCCAGGTTCTCCGGGAGCCTTTCTTCTTCCCTTCTCTGACCTGTAGAGCACGTCTTGTCTGTTACCCTCGTTTTCAATTATTTTTTGAAACATTAAAAAGTGATATATGGGACTGGGCGTGATGGCTCACACCTGTAATCTCAGCATTTTGGGAGGCTGAGGAGGGTGGATCACTTGAGATCAGGAGTTCAGGACCAGCCTGACCAACATGGTGAAACCCCGTCGCTACTAAAAATATAAAATTAGCCAGGCGTGATGGCGCATGCCTGTAATCCCAGCTACTTGGGAGGCTGGGGAGGGGGAATCGCTGCAACTCAGGAAACAGGTTGCCGTGAGCCGAGATCACACCATGGCATCCGGCCTGGGAGACAAAGCAAGACTCCATCTCAAAAAAAATTTTAAAAAGGTGATTTATGAAGTAATACGTGCATGTAGTTGAAAAAACTTCAAACTATTCTAAAAGGACTAACAATGAAAATTAAGTCTTACCCCACCCCCCAACCCCTAGCTCCTCTACCAGAATCAGTGCATGCTACTAGATTGGGGTCTTGGAGGTAACCGAGACGTCTGCTAGGCCACTATTTTCCGAAAGTTTCACTGTGACCCATTAGTGGTTATAAAATCTAGTTAGTGGGTTGTGGCCATCATTTTAGGAAACGAAAATGAAATTGAATGGAATGGAAAGTGGGGAAAAGAACATAAACTATCAAGACTCATTAGATATAGTTAGACTAAAGACCATTGTCCTGTGAAACTTTTGTTTCTGTATCACATGTGTGCCAAAATGTCAAATGTATTTCTTTCTAGGGGTTGTGGTGAAAAAAGATGAAAGTCACTGACATCTATCTATCTATTTATTTATCTATCTATCTATCTATCTATCTATCTATCTATCTATCTATCTATCTAAGCTTCCTATGCTGAGTGCTAAGAAGAGGGAAGAAATGGTCAGGCTTGGGAACTCAGAGGAACAAGAGGTCCCTGCAGGCTGCGTGTTCAGGGAAGTCTTCCAGTAGGAAAGTGATGAGCTTCTAGGTCAGAACAATTTGCAGAGGTAGAAAAGAGGCAGCCACCCTGAGCACGAGACAGCAAGACTTTCCTCTTTAGGAAACAGACCAAGGACAGTGGGTCAGCATGGATTAGGCACCCGGAATACAGAATTGTGTAGTCTTATGTAGAGGTTGAGTCTGACCAGCAAGAGAATAGACCCCAGGAGGGTCTCTGCGGAATGCCAAATGAGTGGGACACACACTCAGGGATAAAGGAATTTGGGCGGTGCAGAGGCAGGGCTTTGCAGCAGTCCTGGAAGGCCCTGGGGAATAGGGCACTGGGCAGGCTGTGGCCTTGGCATATATCCAGCCTCTGCATCTTGGCCTCCAGGGGTGTTCCAGTGCGGCCCCGCTTCGGTCATTGGTATTCGAGAGGGTGATGTGAACCTGAACTTCGACATGCCCTTTATCTTCGCGGAGGTGAATGCCGACCGCATCACCTGGCTGTATGATGGCACCACCGGCAGACAGATGAAGAATTCCGTGGACACTCGCACCATTGGCAGGTACATCAGCACCAAGGCAGTGGGAAGTAACGCTCGCATGGACGTCACGGACAAGTACAAGTACCCAGAAGGTAGGAGGGACGCTGGTGGGGCAGTGCTGCGAGGGGTTCTATTGTGGGAGGATGGCTCTGAGGGTGGAGAGGAGAAAAGGCCTCACCCTCCCCCGCACTGGCAACCAGTTCTGCCTGAATGATAGGATTGTTCCCTAGCACCTAACCCCCACCTCCCAGCACTGTTTCCAGAGGGAACAAAACCATCATGGGCAGCTGCTGTGCCAGTGGAAGTTTGCTGCAGGGCACGGGTGGCTGTCAACCCAACCCAGCCCATCCCCAGCTGTGTCCCTGTCTCAACTGCACAGCTAGGGTGACAGCACCATGACTGAGCATCATAAGGAGAGACAAGGCCCCCATGAAAGGCCCCCAAGGGCTTTGGGAGAGATTTCTCCAACAGTCTGCTCCCCTAGCCTCTGAGAAACTCAGGGAGAAAACCATCTGAACAAAGAAATGGACAAAGAAACCCAGAGACTTGGGCTTGCATTGTGCACTTTTGGAGGCCTCCGAAGAGGCCAGATGAGGTGTGACTACATGGTATGAATGCCCGGGCTCCGGAAATCTCAGGCATGCATACATTGCTGGTCCCCCTAAAGTCACCTTGGAAGGCCAGTTGCTGTGAGGCTGCCTCGACTCAATTACATTTGCTTCCCAGAGTTGCTTTTGAAACCAGCAGCGCATCTCTTGGAGGATTCTCAATGATGATAAAAGTTCTGCCTTTGAAGACGAAGTACATTTTTAGAAACAGCCGAAAGTAATTTAGTGCTTGCTCTTGCAGGCCACAGTCACTCCTTAATGGGGTCAACATTTCACTCTTTCTAAAATGCTTTGAAACGGTTCATTCCATTGATCCTCACAGTTGGTTCTGAGGGGTCAAGAAAAGCATTCTCATAAATGTGCACACAGTACCCTCTAAAGTAAGCCCTGAATCTCTAAGTGACTGTTGGCTATTGGTGTTGGCCGAGTTTACAAAAAAGGAAAGCTGAGCGCAGGCGATGGGGTCTGACTTCAAGTCCAAGCGGGTCCCCCCCAGGTGCTGGTATTTGTGAACAATTGGAGGCACAATTTTAGGGTTATGAGATTGGTGGCCTCAATTTGGCCCCAGTCTTCCTCTGCAAGTCATTCCCAAGATTGAGCTCAGATAGACCTTCGCTCAGTCAATAAATATGTTCTGAGCCCCTACTGAGTGCTTGCTTCATGCTGGGCCTTGCGGATGCAACAGAGGACGCTGCAGATGGGCTGGGGGTGTGGAGATGTAGGACAAGTATTTTCAACAATGTTATGACGTAGAAACAAGCGTAGGGGGCCAGGGAGTAAAAACTCGGGGGCAGAAGGTGAACTCCAGCCCTACCAGCCATAATTGTGTGGCCTCGAGCAAGTTTCCTCTGATCTCTGAGCCCTGGCTTCCTCACCTGAAGAATGAGAAGAGCAATGCCTGTCTTTAGCAGGATTTAAACGAGCTAAGGTATACAAAGTGCCAAGTGCAGTGCCTGGCATATAGTCAGGACTTGATAAATAGCAGTGGTGCTATTTATCAATTTGAACCTCTATAGCCTCACTGGAACAATGACTTCCCAAGGTGACTATTTTGCAGGTGCTGCTTACATGACTGTATGATCCTGTGGGGTTCCTTACCTTACCCCCACACCTTGATCGCTGGCTGTCTCAGCCAAACCTCCTAAACAATGGAGAACGGACAGGTCCATTGTGGGGGCAGGGGAGGGGGTCCCTGCAGGACTCCTAGCAATGCCTCAGCCCTTACATGACAGGACAGATCACCCTGCCTGATGTTGCCCAGATCTTCTTACCCAATGATTCTAGCTTCTCTCTGAGGGCCTCAGGGAGGAAAAGCCCATAAAATAGGTTGCTACGTATTGATGCAATAGCAACAGCAAAGGGAGAAAACAACAGGAGGAAGCTTAGCCTTGAGTAAGCCCAGCAGATGACCTATATAGGCATCGAGGCTCCGAGCCTCATCGTGCAAACACACCTGCTTCAAGGTCCCAGGCACAGAAGGCTCAGATCCGTGCACTGCCTTTGGCTCTGGGTTGGACTTACAATTGGACTAGAGGATGGGAAGGCATCAAAAGGAACCCAGCCCACCAGGAACTGTCAGCTTAGGTAATCTGGCTGCCTGCCTCCTTTTTAGCAGGGTGTGTGGGAGGAAATTTAGACCAGGGGTCCAGACACCAGGGAACTGGCCCCCTCTCTGCAGATGACTGGCCCAGTCCATCTCAGAGTGGTCTGGACAAGTTGTGTCTCTTCTTAGGGCCTTAACTTGATGGGCATGGATGAGTTGGCCTCTGAAGTCTCTGCAAATCACATGTAATTTATGGGAAGGGGCTTGCTGTATCGTAAAATGCTTACAATAGGTCATCAGGCCGGGGGGAGTGGCTCATGCCTGTAATCCCAGCACTTTGAGAGGTCGAGGTGAGCGAATCACCTGAGATCAGGAGTTTGAGACCAGACTGGCCAACATGGTGAAACCCTGTCTCTACCAAAAATGCAAAACTTAGCTGGGCTTGGTGGAGAGTGCCTGTAATCCCAGCTACTTGGGAGGCTGAGGCAGGAGAATCTCTTGAGCCCAGGAGGTGGAGGTTGCAGTGAGTTGAGCTCATGCCACTGCACTACAGCTTGGGTGACAGAGTGAGACCCTGCTACAAAAAAAAGAAAAAAAAGAAAAAAGAAAAGAAAAAAGAAAAAGAAAGAAAGAAAAGAAAAGAGAAAAAAAAAGAAAAGGAAGTCATCTGGTGCCTTAAGTATTTCACAGGTTGTTGGGGAAGGTGGGAGACCGTAAGTATGGTCTGCAGATGTCAACATGGTCACTCTTCCTTGTGTACCTCTGCCTGTGTTCCTGGAAGGTCAACACCTTCTCCTAGATCTATCTCCAGGTCAAGCTTTTTGTGAACTGCTCAGTCAGCCCTGGCTCAGAGGCTTGCAGTCAGTTACTCAGCTCTGTGTGCCCTGAGAGCCATTTTCAGGTACATCCCTGTCATTCTCTATGGGCTCCTTATGCTATCACATTCAGCAGCGCCCATAGCCTGAGTCAGAGTCAGAAAACCCATATTTTTATCCAGCCCTTGCAGTTTTGAAAACTGAAATCTCTTGATAATTTCAACTAGTCATAACTGGGAACCATACCGACCATGGGAAGTCCTTGTCAACCAGCACAGATCAAAATGTCACTCCTTGACTCTCAAAGCACCTTTAGAAACAAGGCAGAAGAACATGGTTTACCAAAAAAAAATTTTTTAATCAGGTCAGTTTAAATCATCACCTCGTTTTTTGGCTTATGAATGTATTCTAATCTTTTACAGCTCAGTTCTTATGATTTATTTTGAAATTATCTGTGTTTTAAGTCTCACAAAAGACATTTTATCAGAAAAAAAATGAAATCTAACCTAATTAACACAAGCAAATGATCAAGCCACATAGTAATTGTGTGCAGGTGCTGATAAAGCTTTTCTACAGATTTTGGGAAATTTAGAGCTGATTGGAAAAGCGCCAGAGACCAACTGGTCTGTGAGTCTCCGGTTAAGACAGGTGAGCTGGAGACCTGCGAAAGTCGAATGCCTGCTAGGACAGCAATGGAGCCAGCACCAGTCCTAGGCCACCTGTCCAGGCAGGATACTGTCCTTTGCCCAGGTTGCCACCACATCCCTAGCGTGTTTCTGTCTTTTCCCACCACACAGGCTCTGACCAGGAAAGACGAGTGTTCCAAAAGGCTTTGGGGAAACTTAAACCCAATGCGTCATTTGGCGCAACGTCTTCAATGGGTTTGGAAGCAGAGGAACGGGAGTCCAGCATCATCGGGAAGTTCAAGGTCACTGGCATGCTAGCAGTGGGCAAAGAAGTCAACCTGGTCCTACTGCTCAAAAACCTGAGCAGTGATACGAAGACAGTGACAGTGAACATGACAGCCTGGACCATTGTCTACAATGGCACACTTGTACATGAAGTGTGGAAGGACTCTGCCACAATGTCCCTGGACCCTGAGGAAGGTAATGCATCCTGCAGTTGGAGGGGATCCACAAATCCGAGGTAGCCAATGGCCTTCTGGGGCTGCAGGGTGTCTCCTGGGCTCCAGGTTAGTTGGCTAAGAATGGAGCAGCGAGCAGGCCCTGTGGTTAAGCCATGTCTTATGCTTTAGAAGTTGCTGTCTCTATGAACAGAGTGATGCCAACCAAATGTCAGGGTAATGCCAACCAAAATCCTTTTTCGCCCCAAGGGAGGTAGGAGGGAGGCTTTGGCAGTTCATAGCTATGGACAATATCCCTTACAATTATACACCACCTCACACAGTTTGACCTTCTAAAAAAAAAGGCAGATTTTCAGTATCCATCTTATAGAGGCAGAAAGTGAGGCTGGGCGAGATCTGTGACTTGCTTCAGAGATAAAGTCTCATAGATAGTAGCGGTAGTGCTGGGTCTTGGTCCTGTGTTTCCTGACACTGAGTCCAGAGCCACCCCCTGTTTTCTATGTTGTTTTGCTGTTACCCACCTCACCCCCACCCCCACCCCCACAACAAATCGCTTTTCTACTTTGACCTCGGGAGGGTGGCAATGACCACAGGGCCCTAAACCTTGGCCCAGGGCTCTGCCACGGCTGCCACGGGGTGAGTGGACCTTCTGGAATCCTGACAACAGTGACAGGTTTTCTTAGAAGTCTGATCATTTGGGAGGATGTGACTCCTTGCCCTTGGGTAGCAGGGATGGGAAGGGAACAAGGTGGAGCAGATAAAGGTTGTGCTGTGGAAGGATTAGAATGCAGGTGTGCCCACATTGGTAAAATCCTTCAAGCTGTTATGAAAAGTTTGGACTTACAAACCAGATTAGCAGGGTGGGGTGGTTATTTGCTTCACATAAGGAGCTAATAGAAACTATTTAATTATACTGCCCATCTTGAAAGAATTCTGTCTCCAGTGAAACAGAAGTGTCACACCTGTCAGAAGGCAGCATCCCCTAGCAATCCGTCTTCTGGCAGAATTTTAGCAGAAATCTTTTCAATATCAGAAGGAACTGCCTGGCTGTTATTGACCTTAGAAACTCAAAGAAAGGGCTTTTTTCATTTGTTTGTTTGTTTTTGTTTGTTTGTTTTTGTTTGTTTGTTTTGTTTTTATACAGGGTCTTGCTCTATCTCCCAGGCTGAAGTGATCATAGCTCACTGCAGCCTCAAACTCTGGGTTCAAGCAATCCTTCTGCCTCAACCTCCCAAGTAGCTGTAGTCCCAAGTAGCTAGGACTATAGGCATGCCATTATGCCCAGCTAACTTTTAAAGCTTTTTGTAGAGATAGGGTCTCACTATGTTGCCCAGGTTGGTCTCAAACTCCTGGCCTCAAGCAATTTTCCCACCTTGGCTTTCCAAAGTGCTGGGATTACAGACATGAGCCACAATGCCTGGCCAAAAGAGCTAATTTTGGAAGTCAAAAAAAAAAAATTCACAGGATAGAAATGGTTTAAAAAAATCCTTTTGCAGAATAGAATGGAAAAGAGAGAGAAGGCAGGTATAGTGGTCTTAGAGTCTGGTCATCTGTCAAGTAGTTGCTGGGTGACCCTGGTTAAGTCTCCCTCCTTTTCTGAACCTCGGCAGTCACTGATGGTGAGGGTTGGACCAGCTGATGCAAGGGCCTGTCCTCTCCACATTTGGGGCAGGGATGGCAAATTCCTCCAGTGCTAAAAGCAGAGGCAACTTCCTCCTTACAGTCTTACCTACAAGAGTGTGTAACACTGTGGGTGCTGGGGCACCCCCAGGCCACCCAGCATGAAAGCCTGAGGGAAGGGAGCACCTAAGCCCGTCAGAGTAGGAAGAGGGCCCCGCAGCCCACAGGGTCAGAAGAGAGGACTTAAAGCATGGGGAAGGAGCCAGACGCATGGAGAGAAGCCAGAGGAGGCATTTCCATCTGGGGGAATCATGTGAGTCAAAATATGGGGCAAAAAGGTGCCTGTTTTGTGTGCAGAACAAGAAGTGTGGAAGGTTATTTTAAGGGACAGGTGATTCGGGGCCAGGTTGAGGGGTCTGAACTTTATCTAAGGCAATGAGGAGCCACAGAGAAATTCTGAAGTGATATATGACATGGAAGAACAGTGATTTAGAAAAAAACAAAACAAAACAAAACAAAAAACAGCTTTCTAAAGCTTTGTCTGGCTGGTGTGTGGATGATTTAGAAGCAGGAGAGAGTACGAGGAATGAAAGGGATGCTGTGACAGTAGAACCCCAGGTTATTAGATGACGGGGAGGATCCTAAGTGTTTGTTTAGCCAATACCCTGGCTTTCCTTCCTACCTATTATTGTGTTACTGTCATGATTGCTACTGTTGTTGGCAATCAGGTGGCATTTGTATTCTTCCACTGCCCCTCAGAAGGACATTTGTGGCTGGGCGCAGTGCACATGTCTGTAATCCCAACACTTTGGGAGGCCAAGGCAGGAGGATCAGTTGAGCCCAGGAGTTTGAGACCAGCCTGGACAACATAGGAAGACCCCATCTCTACAAATAATTTAAAAAATAAAAAAAAGGACACTTGCCCTCCAACATTTTGGGTGGGGAGGAAGCAGCAGTATCTTTAGCCCCTCTGAGCCCATCCTCCTGGGAATCTGCCCAGCCAGACGGAGTCCTGGGGCCTCCTTGGCCCCTGCTCTGGAGCCCACTCTGAACAGGGGAGGCTTCCCACAGGACCTGGCCCAAGGAGGGCTCAGTCAAGCCCGGGGCTGCAGCTCCTCCCGCCCGCTCACCCTGCCTTGGCTTGGCGTCAGTTCTGAGGAAGGTTCAGAAGCCATCCCCACTCCTCCTCACTCGGATCCCCGACTTCTCCTTCCAGAGGCAGAGCATCCTGTAAAGATCTCGTACGCTCAGTATGAAAAGTACCTGAAGTCCGACAACATGATCCGGATCACAGCCGTGTGCAAGGTCCCAGATGAACCTGGGGTGGTGGTGGAGCGGGACATCATCCTGGACAACCCCACCTTGACCCTGGAGGTAATGGGGTGGGAAGGGGTTCTGCCCCCAGCCAGCCCAGCTCCCAGGAGACCCACCGTCCCTGTGAGCCACGGTTCTCCCAGACTGCAAAGGAGAGTTTTTCTTGCTGGGAGGGGCAGAGAACTGGGCCCGGCTTGGGTCCAGCCTCTGCCAAATAGCCAAGAGCTTCCACTCAGGCCCGTGTTCCTGCTCCCTGTCTGGTGGGATAAATGCGTGCATTTGCCTGGCTGCTTCTCGGATTCTAGTTCAGAACCACTGGGGGCATCAGCTGAGGAGGGGTCTGGAGGGACTTTTCAGTTCATTCCCCTCTCACTCAGCTGCTGAGCATCTGCTGTGTTCTGGGCCACGCAAGGCTTGGGAATCACAGAGAGGCACAGGTGTGGGTCCCGCACACAGCCAGCTGATGTGTCAGGGCCACAGCCCAGCCCCCTGTCAGAAACAGGCCTGAGCCACAGCATCTCTCCACTGTCTGGACCCTGGAGTTACAGAATCATGGACTCTTAGGAGCCTAGTCACATGCTCTACTCTCACTTCACACGAGTAAACCAAGACCCAGAGAGAAGGGAACAGCTGGCTACTGCCAGAGTCAAGGCTAGGCCTCAGGCCCTGGGACTCCCAGCCCATGCCCCTCCAAGGTGTCCTGATACATCACCAGCCAGCAACAGCATCTTCAAAGTGGCTGAGAACAAAGACCCCTCTTTCTTTCTTTGCTCACAGGCTTCCTTTTGTTTGCAGCATTCACCCCCAAGCTCCTCCTCAGGAGCCCAGGAAGGTGGGGATTGCAGGTCTGTGGGAGGCCCCTCGTGCCACTCTGTCTCTTCTTCAGCGAGCAGCACCTGTGCTGGCTCCAAGCCTGTCCCTCACCTTGTAGCCCCTGTGCCTGATCCACCTAGCCCTAGGTGGAGAGTGCTGGAGCCAGGCAGTATAGGTCTGAAGGGTAAAAGGCTGGACAAGGACAGGCAGACAAACGGACAGAGAACACGAGGGTTTCCCTTGGGGTCCAACCAAGAGCCTCATGCGCCAGGCCCTGCCCTCTCTCATCTGCTGTGCCCACCATCTGCCCTCCCCCCTCGTCCAGCTAGAAATTGCCGTTCTCTGTACAATCACAGTGCCACAGGTTTCCCAAGCCCCAGAAACCAGGAGAAGCCAGATAATCATGGCCGCCCTGGCCCATCCCTCCTTAAGCTGTAAGCTGGCCGCAGGGTTCCTGACCTGAGAGAGGGCAGGGGGATCTAGGGTGCTGGCTCTGATGTGGGGCCTGGTTCTCCCACACAGTTGGCCTGCAATTACACCCTTTTACTGTCCTGGTTACTTTGGACTATGCTTCAGGATGGGGGAGTTGGTCCCCTACATTAGGGGCTACAGAGCCAGTGACTGGGCAGCCAGTCTGGGGGTTGAGAGGGGCAGTCGTTCAGGCCTTAGGCCATGCAACCAAATGGATCTGGCATTGTATTTAAACCCCTCCATTGATCAGTGGTGACACTGAGCAAGTCCCTTAATCTGAGTCTCAGTTGCTCCAACTCTCATTGAGACAATCAATTACTTCCTTTGCAGAGTGTCATTTCCTCAGGGAAGACTTTCCTGAGCTCCGAAATTAGACTTGGTCTCAGTTATACACCCTCGGAACCTTTTGTCCTTTACCTTCAAGGCATTTGTCCCAGCTGGAATATTATCTTCCTTTGTGCAATTATTTGGTTGTGAACCCCTCCCCAGCCGTAAACTCCACAAGGGCAGGCGTTACCTCTGTTCTGAGTTCATCACTGTCTCCCTTGGCACAATGTCTTAGTGGAGAGCACTATTTGTAAAGGAGAAATAGCCCCTTCCTCGGGGCAGGACTGGAACAGAGCCCCTTGGCTCTGGACTTGCATTCTTCCCCGCACAGGCGAGAGGTTTCATTGCCAGTCCAGGCTTGTGCCCTGCGTGTGACAGCCTCTCCTGCTTCACAAGACACTTCTGAGAAACACTCCCTATCTCTCTAGACATGGTGGACAGCAGAGTACCCATTCCAACTCCTGAGTCCAGAAAATGATACTGGGCGGCTACCAGTTCAGTTATGAAAACATTCTGTACTAAAGTGACCAGTGTTTAAAAGAAGTTAGTTTTTGGCCAGACACGGTGGCTCACTCCTGTAATCCCAGCACTTTGGGAAGCTGAGGCAGGTGGATCATCTGAGATCAGGAATTCGAGACCAGCTTGGCCAACATGGCGAAACACCATCTCTACTAAAACTACAAAAATTAGCCAGGCATGGTGGCAGGCACCGGTAATCCCAGCTAGTTGGGAGGCCGAGGCAGGAGAATTGCTTGAACCTGAGAGGCAGAGGTTGCAGTGAGCTGAGATTGCACCATTGCACTCCAGCCTGGGTGACAGAGAGAGACTCAGACAAAAAAAAAAATAGTGTTTCCCCCCAGTATATTCCCCATTATACTCCCTTATCCGATGTCCTCAAACCTTCTTCCAGTGTTATCTTTTATTCAACACTTTTGCTATATATCTTCCAGATTTCCATGGTAAGTCTACTTATCTTTAAAAATACTACAATATCTTTAGAAAGGAAATCAGAATATATACGGGCTAGAAATGTGCCATCACTAACTCTTTTTAAAAGTTTAATCTTTTTAAATGACTCCTGATCTTCCTTCTTTGAGACACATTCTTTCTTCCACCTAAGCCTTCGGAAAATCAAGACATTCTTGTCTCTATTGAATGATCAATGCATAGCTCACTCAGAGCAGAGCACGGATTTTTAAACTGGAGAAGGTGATTTGTACGAAAAGATAATAATTTGTGTAAACCCCCATTATCTAACCTGGTACTGGCTGGCAATTAGCATTGAGGACCTTAGACCATGAAACCAGGCCAAAAACAATCTGAACATTGTTTCCAAAGGGTGATGTCCTCCCAATTGCCTCATCATCTGTGACTATCAAACTGAGGTTTTTGGTGGCTTTTATCCTCTCCTCTGGGTACATTTACAGATTTGGGTCAATAGGAGGGAGTGGTAAGCAGCATTAAAAAAAGAAAAAAATGCACGGAAATCTCAAATTAAATATCAACATGAAAAATGTGGCAACATCTGTATAGCTTTGTTATAACCCAATAGCATAAAATTATGCTACACTCTTCAAATTATATCATACATTTAAATGAGTTTCATGGAAGAGATGATACTATAGACCATGGTGTCTAGAATGCTTCAATTATTCACAAATTACTGGGAGGTATTGCAGACCTATCAGAAAGAGCAAAGACTTTAGATCCAGCTGGGCTCTGCTGTTTCCTAGTGTGTGAATTTTTCAGGTTATTGAATCAGCCTGAACCTCAGCTCTGTCACTGTAAAATGGTTGCTCTGAGGATTAGTGACAAGAAAAACAAAACCCAACAACAACCACCAAAAAAAAAAAAAAAAAAAGCCCCTAGCAACCTCCAGTCATTCTCAAAAGAAGAAGAAATCCCATAGCCATACAATTTCCATTTCCATTTCCAAAATGCTTTCTTCCCCATCCTTGATCTCATTTGGCCCCTTCTGGGAGGGGAGAAATGATTGTCCTTCTTTATCAGATGAGGAAGTTAAGGCCCAAAGAGATGACTTGTCTGCTCAGAATGAATTATGGCTGTTTCTTAGCAGAAACACAACAGCTTTCATCTTTTGATCTGAATAAATAGTCCAAATTGCTTTTCTGACCCCAAACCCAGCCTTCACCTGTTGTGATCCCTGAGCAAGGACAGTGTGGTACTAGAGCTCCGCCCAGACTATAAATAATAGAGAACCTCTGGGCTCTAGAAGTTTACAAGGACATTGGTAGACTGGAGTGTCAGCAGAGGAGAGTAGCCTGGGTTGAGCTGGGGGAACCCAAGCCCTGGAAAAGAGTTTAAGAAGCCACAGTGTGAGCCGGGGTATGAGCAGCTGCAGGGCCTGGGTCTGCCCTTTTCAACACCTGTGAGGCCTCCCAGGGAGGGAGGTTCAAGCTTTAAGGGAAGAAACAGCACCCATAAGCAGGAAAGTCAAGGGAAGTAATATTAAATCCAGCATGTGGCTGGGCACGGTGACTCACATCTGTAATCCCAGTGCTTTGGGAGGTCAAGGCAGGAGGATCACTTGAGGCCAGGAGTTTGAGGCCAGCCTGAGCAACATAGCAAGACCCTGTCCCTGAAAAAAATAAATTCAGCATGAAAAATGTCCTGACCCTCACAGAGCCCACAGTGGAGTTGGGCTGTCCTGGGAAGCAGGGGGCTGAACTGGAGTCAGGACAGGGAAGCCACAGTGCTATTGGCTGCTGCAGAGGACCCCTTCCTCCTCAAAGCTGAGGTTCTCATCCACAGCATGGGATAATGTCCTAGGACCATCCTGTGTACTGGGGGGCAGGGGGCATCAGACAGAATATGCCTGGCACCTAGGAGGGCTAAATGGTCTCCCCTTCCTTCATCCTCAGTGACATCACCCCCTTTACTCAGTCACCCTGCCCAGCCCTCACCAAGGTACAGGCAGGGGCTGAGCAGCTGGAGTCCTGACTCGGCAGTCCCTCTCCTCTGTAGGTGCTGGATGAGGCTCGTGTGCGGAAGCCTGTGAACGTGCAGATGCTCTTCTCCAATCCACTGGATGAGCCAGTGAGGGACTGTGTGCTGATGGTGGAGGGAAGCGGCCTGCTGTTGGGTAACCTGAAGATCGAGTGAGTCCTGGGCCTGAGTGGCCGGTGCGGGAGGGTGGGAGGGGGCGGGGGGGACCCTCCATATCCTCTGGGTGGGACAGACAGAGCTCCCTCTGACCTTAGGTTCTTTACTCTTTTGGGGGCCTTAGAACTCTAGAATCTGCGTTTGCATTTGGTTTGGGGGTTCACCAAACTTGAACTGAGAAGTCCAGGTCATCAGAGCTACGAGCTGGTCTTCAGGGCTTAGAATATTTGGGAGATCATGGTACCCCCCTCCCACTTCCTCTGCTGAAGTGTCCCGGGGCTGGAGGGGCCCCGTAACCCGGAGGACAGCTAGAGGGAGCAAAAGAAGCAGTGGCCTTGCCCAGCCTCCATCAGAACAGGACAGAAGGTTGCAGAAGCCCCGTCCAGCCCAAGGTCTGTGTCTCATATCAACACTGATCCATGCACTCCCCATCAGTGTGCCGACCCTACGTCCCAAGGAGCGGTCCCGGGTCCGTTTTGAGATCCTGCCCACCCGGAGTGGCACCAAGCAACTGCTCGCCGACTTCTCCTGCAACAAGTTCCATGCAATCAAGGCCATGCTGTCCATTGACGTAGTCGAATGAAGGGCGCTGGTGGCCTCCTGTACAAACTTGGATAACACGGAGCAGGGAGAGCTCACCATGGAACGAACTCCCTGCCCATGCTGTCCAGCCTGGGAAACCCTCTCGTCTCCCAAGGCTGCCAGACATGGACCTCCAGGCTCCAGCACATCCCCTTCCCCTCTCCCCCAGGTTGGGGCTGGGTCCACCCTGTCCCATGACTTGATTACTTTTGCACATTCCCTGGCCACTTCTCCCCAGGGCTGCCTGCTCTGTGGGCCCCACAGCCCTGCTCATCCCTCATGCCCTTCAGTGCTGCAGGATGGACTGGCCCCCAACCCAAGGACTCTCCAAACGGCACACAGGAGAAAAGCTGGTCTAGACTGTTTGCTGATCCCCAACCTGCACGGGGCATTCCTGCTCCTCTCTCAGGCCACCACAGAGGGCAGGGGATGGTTAGCCAGCTGCCTCAGCACCCACACCCTAACTCAAAATAAATGTTAAATAAGTGCGATCACACAGCAGCGACTCTACCTGACTGCTGTCGCACCAGAGGTGGTGAAGGAGAGAGGAGGCTGTGGCCGTGACCTTCTGGAGCAGGGAATAAACTTGAGGAAGCCACATTCTCTGTGTTTCAATGTCCAAAGGGAGTGGGCTTGATCTGCAAGGCTGTAGGTGCAAAAATAGGGAAACATTTCAAGCCAGTTTAGGAAAACTTTCTAACATGATATCCAAAAATAGATGAGGCTGCCTTGGGAGGTAGCCCCTGGTCACAGAATGCTTCAAACATTCTCTGTGTGGCTGGGCAAACTTTTCAGGCCTCTCTACATGCATCAGAGTGAGAGGGGACTTCACAGTTTTTGCTGGAACCCTCTGGCAGAGCTGGTTCCGGGGGTGGCCCAGACTCTGCTCACACGGGGCTCCACACTCCTCTTGCAGCCAGGAGCAAACGCGTGCTTCTACCAGCCACAGCGCTGTTAACTCAACCTGAACCTTCTCTGCCTTTATACACACTCTGATGGTTCCTCAGCCTTTGTCCCTTAAAATAACCTCAAGCAGATCCCATTAGCTTTTCTGTCGCTTGTGCTGACTAACACCATTTTGACAACTCTGCCTCATTTTCTGAACTCAGGAGACCAGCAGAATCTAAATAGAAACCTCAACCTCACATCCAGCTCAAAGCTTCTCCCCTGGGGGCAGCGCAGGCCTTACTCACGCCTGCAGAGGAGGCACTGTCCATCTCTCACCTTCCTTCCCTTCCTTCCTCGACCTGGAAAGTTGCTTGATCCCTCAGAGTTCGAACAGAGAGAGAAGAAGAAAAGTGACAGTCGTCTGTTTCACTGGTGCTGATGTAATGCCGCCAATGATGGTCTCTGTGTCGCCAGTGTTTAAATGCAGGGTTTCTGTACTGCTTGTGGCCTGAGCCAGGAGTTCAAGGCTGCAGTGAACTATGGTTGTGTCATTGTACTTCAGCTTGAATGACACAGTGAGACCCCATCTCTTAAAAAAAAAAAAAAAAAGCAGTCAGTAAATTAGGGATTTGGGGTTGAATCACTCACCATCCAGCTTCCATGAACCCATCCTCATCCCATATTATCCTAGGCAATATGGATTGGGTACATCTGGGTGGATACCCTCAAACATTTTGACTTCCAAACTCCTCTGGACCTTCAGAGCCCAGGCCTGGCCTCCTTCCTATTAAGATCCAGTAACTTCTCTCCCCACCTCCTGCCCCATATGGGAAGACACTGAAGAAATCTCTCCCCTGAAGCAGGAGCCCTACTCAGGATTTATTTCTGCCTCTTCTCTTGGCCGCCAGGCTGATAAGTCCCGTTAAGTTGCAGCATAACTCAGCAGGGGATGTGCCATATCTGATAAAGAAATAAAGGGACTGTAGTCTGAAGGATCCGAAAAACCAGCCATCATGTGACAGCAGGATCATGGGAGAACTCTGGCAGTGGATTTGAGGGTGCTTAATCAAGGAAGCTGTAACACTAGCCTAAATAATGAAAAAGTTATTGACTTGGGGCCATTCTTTTGTGATATGAGATTTAACACCCAGGTGAGGATACCAAGAGCTGGTGCAAACTGGCTTAGTGGCTCCAAACATCTGGAAGAAGTGATGACTTATGCTAAGTACAGTTGAAGCGGCTGATTTGCCTCGGTGCGGTGCGTGATAGAGGAAAGAATTAAAAGGCTCAGGGAAATGGGCATGCTGGGGTTGACATGTTATGAGGGGCCAGGAGACATCTTCCGAAGGATTATTTCCCTCAGAGGGTCCAGAGGACCCACCCACCGTTCACCGAGGCCATCAGAAATGAGTAGTGACAGGGCCATCAACATCACTAAGAAATTCAGTGATGGTATCCTCTACATTTAAAGCAAAAATAATAGCAACATTGTAGAAGTAAAAAGTATGAAAATAATAACACAATAGCCAGGAAGGAAAAAAATACACTGATGTAAATTTCTTATATAATACACGAAGTAATAAAATATTAATTGAAGACAGACTGTGACAAGTTAAAAATCTATATTATAAACCTAAAGAAACCAGTAAAAGAAAAGGAGGCGGCGGCTCACACCTGTAATCCCAGCACTTTGGGAGGCCAAGATGGGTAGATCACTTGAGGCCAAGAGTTCAAGACCAGCCTGCCCAACATGGTGAGACCCAATTTCTACTAAAAACAAACAAACAAAAAAAATATCAGTCAGGCGTGGTGGCATGTGCCTGTAGTCCCAGCTACTCAGGAGGCTGAGGCAGGGGAATCACTTGAACTTGAGAGGCAGAAGTTGCGGTGAGCCGAGATGGTGCCACTGCACTTCAGCCTGGTTGACAGAGTGAGACCCTGTTTCAAAAAAGAAAGAGAAAGAAAATAAAAGAAAACAGGCTGGGCATGGTGGCTTATGTCTGTAATCCCAGCACTTCAGGAGCCTGAAACAGGTGGATGACATGAGGTCAGGAGTTCGAGACCAGCCTGGCCAACATGGCAAAACCCTGTCTCTACTAAAAATACAAGAATTAGCTGGGTGTGGTAGTGCATGCCTGTAATCCCAGCTACTTGGGAGGCTGAGGCAGGAAAATCTCTTGAATCTGGAAGGTGGAGGCTGTAGTGAGCTGAGATAGCACCACTGTACTCCAGCCTGGACAACAGAGTGAGACTCCATCTAAAAAAAAAAAGAAAACAACAAGAAAACCCAGTTATCAGTAATAAACCAACAACGTAAACACAATGTAATAGTAAAGAATACTCAATTAATAGATAAAGAAGGCAGAAAAGGAGAAAAGGGGACAAAGAATAGTTGAGACAGATTTTAAAAATAAGTAGCAATATGGTAGATTAAATCCAATCATACTAATAATCACATTCAATGTAAATTGCCCAAACACCCAATTAAAAGGCAGCTATTATCAGATTGGATAAAAAAGCAAGACCCAACTATATACTGCTACAAAAAATCAAATTTGAGTACAGAGTTGAAATTGGTTAAATATAAAAGAATACAAGTTATATACCACACAAATGGTAACCATAACAAAGCTGGAGTGGCTATCGAAATATTTAACAAAATAGCCAAAGATTGTTACTAAAGAAAAAGAACATTTTTGAATGATAAATGAATCAGTCCATCAAGAATAAAAATTATAAATAGTGTCACTGTTCTTTGAAGGCAAAGAAATTAAATTAGATGACAATAACACAAATATATCTGGAAAGTCTCCAAACATTTGGAAACTAAAGAAAAGACTTCTGAATAACCTATAGGTCAAAGGAGAAATTTTAAAAGAGAATTACAAAGTATTTTAAACTAAAAACACAACATATAAAAATGCATAGGATACAGCAGAGGAAAGTTTATAGCACTAAAATGTCTATATTAGAAACAAAGAAAAAAAATCAATGAACTCACCTTCCACCTTAGGCAGCTAAAAAGAGAAGAAATTAAACCAGGCCAGGTACAGTGGCTCACGCCTGTAATCCCAGCACTTTGGGAGGCCAAGGCCAGCAGATTACCTGAGGTCTGGAGTTCGAGACCAGCCTGACCAACATGGAGAAACCCCATCTCTACTAAAAATACAAAATTATTTGTATTTTTACAAATACAAATTTGGCATGGTGGCAGGCGCCTGTAATCCCAGCTACTCGGGAGGCTGAGGCAGGAGAATTGTTTGAACCCGGGAGGCGGAGGTTGTGATAAGCCAAGATTGTGCCATTGCACTCCAGCCTGGGCAACAAGAGCAAAACTCCATCAAAAAGGAAGAAAGAAAGAGAGAAAAAGAGAGAAAGAGAAAGAGAGAGAGAGAGAGGGAGGGAAGGGAAGGGAAGGGAAGGAAGACCTAAAATCTAAAATAAATGGAAATGGAAATACCAAACAGCATAAATCAATAAAACAGAAAATAGAAAAACAAAATAATTCAGTGTAACTAAAAGTGAGTTCTTTGGAAACATGAATAACATTGATAAGTCTCTAGCCAGACTGATCAGCAAAATATAAAAAAGACACAAATTACTAATATCAGGAATAAGAGGCCCAATAGCTATTTGAAGAATAATTTAGAAGTATTATGGACAAACTTATGCTAAAAAGATTGACAACTTAGCTGGGTGTGGTGGCTCATGCCTGTAATCTTGGGAGGCCAAGGCTGGAGGATCACTTCAGCTCAGGAGTTTGAGACCAGCCTAGGCAACATGGCAAGACCTTGTCTGTACCAAATAATAATAATAATAATAATAATAATAGCAGGCACAGTGGCACACACCTGTAGTCCCAGCTATTTGGAAGGCTGAGGTGAGAGGATGGTTTGAGCCCAGGAGGCAGAAGTTGCAGTGAGCTGAGATCGGGCCATTGCACTCTAACCTGGGTAACAGAGCCAGACCCAGTCTCAAAAAAAAAAAAAAAAAAAAAAAAAAAAAAAAAAAAAAAAAAAAGTTTGACAACTTAGATAAAATGAAAAAATTCCTTGAAAGACACAAACTATCAAAACTCATTGAGGAAGAAATAGATATCCAGAGTATCCCCCTATCTGTTTTAAAATTTGAGTTTGGAGTGTAGTTCAGTAGAAAACTCTCCAGCTGAGCCTAACACAAATCCTGGCCACAGCACTGGTTGTTGTTTTGTCACCACATTTTCACGTGGTTTGTTATGCAGCATAGGATATTATTTATTATTGTATTATATTAATTAGCTCCATGAAAATATTTATTCACTCTCCAGCACTCAGTTCAAATGTTTCCTCTTCTGCAAAACTTTCCCCATCTTCCTCCCACATCGCTGCATCCAAGCACACTAGGTCTCTTTTTTTCTCTCTATGCCTTCCCTTCATTGTCTTTTTGGACCACTTTGGCGCATGTCTTTCTAGACCGCTTTGGCTTAAGGTCATCTGGCCTACATCTCTCCTCCCCTGTCCTAGACTATGTGGTTGTCATGGGCAAAAACCATGTCTTGTTTAGCCCTACATTCTCCTCACTTAGCCTAGCGCCTGGTGTAGATAAGTACCCATAAGAATTCATAAAAGAGCCAAAAAGTAAATGAAATTGGGAATGAATGAATGAAATGACTGATTGAATTTTAATATCTAACATTCATTGAGAGTGTACAATATGCTAGTGACTGTTCTAAGGTTATCGTAAGTATCTATTTAATCCTTCCAACAACCCTTTGAGGAAAGTACTAATATTATCCCCATTTTACAAATGAAGAAGCAGAGATTTTGAGAGTTACTTAGATCACAAAATAGTAAATGACAGAGCTGGGATTCGTACCCAGGTAGACTGGCTCTAGTGCCTAATCTGTATGTTACGCAGTACTACCTACACAAATTCTAAAGAGGTATCCACTGATAAATCCCATCACAGGCTTACAAAGAGATACAGAGGAAAAATGAAGCAGAAACAAGGAAGTGTGTCTGTGCTGTGGTACCCAGCCCTAGGGAGGCATTCTTGAACACCTCCTCCCAACCTCCTCTCCTGCAACTGCTTAGTTTATTGGCTCTCTCATTCCTATGCTGATGAGCATCCCTATTCCCAGAAGCAGCCTCTTCGTCCGTCCTACTTCTGGCTCTAGACCACTCCTCCTCCCAGCCTTGATCACACTTGCCTGGAGAAACCAGCCTCAAAGAGCTGAATTCAACATGTCCCATTACAATGAATGTTAGTACCAGGGACTCCCCCTGACATTATGTCATTTCTCCTCCCAGCAACCTTCAAAGGTGGAATTATTACACACTGGTACCAATGGGGAAGCTGAGGCTTAGAGCGAATTCTCTCCACTCCTTGCTCTCATACTAGTCTTCACATACCTTCATAATCACTTACTATACTTTATTGAAATCATTTATGTGTCAATGGTTGCCAATCTACAGGTGGAAACACAGGTAAATATACATAAAATGATGTATTGATGTCA